CTTGCTATCCGAAATCACTCTTGACGAATTTGTCAAACTACCACGGTTGATGAAAAACTCCCGAGAGAACGCCTCTGCCGCTGACTCAAGAAAGTCTAATATTATTACATGATTGCTTGCATTATATGCGCCAGACATGAGCCATTCACCATGATTTGTTCGGTTTTATTTTCTCCCCGGCAATTACAACTTGGCCTTGACGGCACCCTTTGGCGGCGTCGTGGCGTCTTGGTTCATCAGTACCTCGCCCGTCTTCTCACCGTTGCCGAAAAAGATGACCTGAACGGTCAAATCGTCACTATTGCTATAATTAGCCGTGAAATCTAAAAGTGGCTCGATTAAGGGCCTTGAACATACCGGTATCGTCTGGAAAAGGGCGAGACTAGAGTTAGAAGAGCGCAAACCTGCTCCTCGTTCTTGCCGCCGAGAGCATTACGGATGAGATGCGTGGCTACATTCTTGTCCTTTACGACAAACCTCTCCTTCTCGTCGGGAGAGATGCCCCATTGCTTTACGCGGATGGGTGTCTTTTGGCCATCGTCGCCGTGACCGCCCTTGTGTGCTTCCACGGGGAGACGGTCCTGCGGCGAGCCAAAGATCTTGGACCAGACCTTGTTGAACTGGGAGTTGGATTGGCTGGCGACTTGTTCGCTCTCGATCCACTTTCCTACAAGACCGACCACTTCCTCGTTAGTCAGCATTTCCCAAAGACCATCTGTTGCCATGACTACAAAGTCGCCCTGCTCAGGCTGAATCTTGGTGGTGGTAACGACTGGCTCGGCGGTCACGTAGGGTGGCGTCTTCAATAGGGGCGATGGTGTCCGGCCAAAGAAGGAGGAGCGGAGGCGGTCCGAGATTTCTCTCGTCCACTTGTAACTGGCGTCACCAAAGGCACGTGTAGGTTCCAAACCACCAAGCACACGACCGTTCCTCACAACATGGTCTTCGCCAGGATGTGCCTTGCGCATACGGGCGGCCTCGTTGGGGTTGCTACCGGTCTGGTCCTCGGAAAGAGCAGTGGCTGTCCACTTGCCAGAGGTACTCCGGCGACCGAGCACAGCACGCGAGTCGCCAGTGCAGGCGACTCTCAATGTCTTGGAGGCACTGTCGTAGAATGACAGCAGAGCGCAGGAACCCGAAAGAGCGGGTCCGAGAAGTTCGGCAGCAACACGCTTGGAATTGGACTTGAGGACCTTGTCAACGCTCTCGTGAACAATCTCGTTGTCCAATCTGGTGAAACCGAGCTTCATGGCGGCATCGATGGCCTCAGGCGATGGTGCAGCACCTAGAGAGTGTGCAGCCTTGTAGGTAGTGTTGAGCTCTCGTGCGACGTAGCTAATAAGGGTCTGGCGCAGCTTGGCTGATGTTGTCCATCCACTACAGACGTCAGTTATAGTCCACAAACCCTCCGTAACCGTTGTAGAACCTACGCGTGACCGTCAAAGACTCCCCAGAACATCCAATCGTTGGCATCCTTTGCTTGCTGCTCAGCCGAGGGCATGGAAACCTCGACAATCTTCTCGGCGTGGTCATCCTCGATTGGGTTGTTGCTAGCTAGTTGTACAATATCGTACCGCAAGACGCCCTGTCCTCTGTTCACCACAAAGGATGCCTCGTTGTCGCGCAACTTCTCGGTGGCCTGGTCTGGGGTCAACATCTCCAGGACGTTGTTCTGGCCTGTTCCGTCGGCACTCTTGGCAATCGGTCCCTCGCCCACGAAAGTACCCGTGTGTAGCTCGTCAGCACCAACGACTAGAACGTTGCGGGTCGTGGCCGCATTCTGGCTGGGGAATTTGGATGAGGTCGAGTACGGGGCAGCGGCCGTTTCTGTGCCGTTGTCCTTGTAACCGTACCAGGCGCCGTAGCCAACAAGACCGCCGACTAGAGCAACTGAGAATCGTCTAAAGTACATGGAGGATTGGAGAGGCTGGCCTAGCGCATGTTGTTGCTGTCGGTTGCGCTGCGAGAGGGTCGAGGACGAAGCGGGAGAAGTCTTGGAGGAAGAGGAGGCGAGAGAGGAGGAAGTGCTCAACGATCGTAGCTGGCCGAGACGAGCACTGGTGTTACTGAGGGTGTACTGCTGGTGCGCGATCAGACTGGCCCGTCGCGTGCGCAGGGCCAAGGTATTTCTCGACAGGCCCCGGGCCGCGCTTTGGCAGGATGTCCGGAAGGATCTCACAGCTACGCGACGCATTTGGTCGTCGGGACGAAGGTCTAACGGGCCTCCTAAACTATGAGTACCCAAAAGCAGAAGCAGTATTGACGTGGAAGCTAACAAAAGCTGGATGGAAGAGTAGGAAGGTTTGTACCGTCGATTGTTCTGTGAGATGGACGGTCAGATAGTGGAGATGGCTTGCTCGGATTAGGGAATATGGTTGAGCGGCAAATCCACAAGACAGCGCAGAATTTAGCGGCCTGGGGAGAGCTGCAGCATGCAGGAGATGCCCCTACTAGCAGTAAACGAAGGCGCTATCAATGATGCTACTTTAGTGCAGTTGAGGTTACACGGGACCCTGAACGATAGAAACTCGGGTGGGGGAGTTGCAGCTAAGAAAGCAACTGGCTTTGAGGGCATGTTACGGGCATCACTGCAGGTGGCTGGCTTGCTTGTTTGGGTCGTTCTAAACCAAACCGATATCAAACATCATAGACGCCAGCATCTTGTGTCTCTACTCTTCTGAAGTGTACTTTGTGGATAACAGGGTCTTCAAATTATAAACAAGGCAAAGGCAACCATTGGCCACCTCAATCTCTGCATTCAAGTCATTATGGACGCCTCTCACAATGCTTCTACTGGTAACAAAGACCCCGCAGTTCCGTCAGCCGCCATGCAGCGGATGAGGGAGCTGGCTGCTCGAAATCCAGATGTTGGTCACCGATCCTTTGACAGCTATCCGTGGACAAAAGATAATGTATTCCAGGTGAGACGAGATCTGGTGGAACGTCCAATGGGGTGCCCAAGATCGATTTGTGCTGACTTGGATCAGTCTCAACTGGCAGCGGCATTGCTGAGTCCGAGCAACTCGACTCCAGTTCAAACCGCTTTACAATGTCGCATCAGCCGGTTTGAGGAGAAAGTCGGCATCAGGATTGACGTTGCCAAATATGAGTCCTATCGAGCTCAGCCGGGCCGACCTGATGTAGATGTCGTGCCCCAGGTCATATTAGAACAAGAGGCTCTATACGAGGTGAGAAGGGCCAAGACAAGGTTATAAGATTTGTCTTTGAAAACATGACTAACGATTCTCCAGCCGGATGCTAGCAAACGCCTGTATGCAGCTATAGTCAATGGCAGCCAGTCACCCCAAGACAGCGGAGATCAAGACTTGCCTTCATGGCAGCGCGCTGCTCCCAAGGCTGCCCTCTATGTTAACAAAGATGAAGCGGGCACTGCAGACGGCTCGGGTAAAGAACCATACCCTAAGAAGTTTGAAGAAATCCTGGCATTTCTTCAGACTGGCGAAGAGATGCCCGGTATTGTCAAGATACCCGATACCGTCATTGAGGATGCAGTAAGTAGCAAGTCCGGGAAATACCTGGTCCCCGAGGCATGCTGCTGACCAACTCGACCAGTCCATCTCTACAACCAGTGGTCGCGCTGCACCGCTCAAACCTTGGGAAAAGAAAGCAGCCGCCAACAGCGATCTGTCAAAGTAAAAATTCCGTCTTCCTCAAAGTCCCTTCCGGCAAAGTTTAGCCAGGGCCTTCTCGTGGTTACAAGACATATCGTCAGAACGGTCGCAGCATATGCCACGCATAGGTTCATCAATGTAAAGCCCACGGCGCCACGAGGAGGTGCAGGGTCTGCTTTTTCAGGGTCTTCTTGAGAAGGAATTCCTAAGTTCGATCTCAGCAAGAGGCCTTGTTCATTGTCTCCAAGATATGTAGCATGCCTGGGCCCTAGAGTAAGAGACCTGCACCATGAAGAAGATCGCATGCCTCATTCATCCATCCCTAGACAGCGATTATAAACTTTGCCTGCTGTCTCGACCTTCTCATCCCAGACTTGACCGTTATCTCTCTTCACTCATGTCCAACATTGATATCAAACTTGGCGATCATCAAGATGGACCAAGTTACGTCCTTGCTCAGCCTGCCATTCGAGCTATGTGAGATGATTTGGGAGCGCTACAAAGTCTCGTCGGAACCAATGACACACGTTTTCACGCGTAATCGGATTGCCAAGGAGCGACAATTGATCAACAGTTACCGAGTCATCTCACTTCCGATGCCAGACATGGCCGATATGAGGACAACCAGGAGCCTTCTTCAGGTTAGCCGAGAAGTGCGTCACGCCATTCTGAATAGACACGAGGTCTTATGCTTCTATCGGCCCCTAAAAGACATAGCCTGCGTGTATGGCTGGAAATCTCCCAGCATACACGATCCAGGTCCGACCTGTTGTCTCACAAGCTATTCGAGTCTGTTTGTTGATTGGGGGGAAGGATGTGTTCTATTTTCCTTACCTCTATGACATCCGACGCTCCAATCACATTCTTTCCAACCCTGATTTCGAGGCAAAGGTTCAACATGTAGCATTCGTTGGCGGGTTCAATTCCAACTATCTCCGCAAACTCTGCTGGCATTCGGCGCCAGTTTTGCTGCCAGAAATTACCGACTTCATGCGCTTGTTCATGATGAACACGGAGTTTCTCCTTGAGAACACTCGGTCTCTGAAGGCCTTGCAGTGTATCCGCCTGGTGGTCGGTCCCTTCCAAGGACTCGGTTTGGCGGCGAACAATGACAGCTATCAAGAGCGACCCATATGGGTTTTGCGACCCTAGGGACGCTGGTGAAGTCTTCCTCGATGCCGATGAGCATCAAATATTTACAGACTATTGTAGGCGTATGGAAATCGAAATGTCGCGTGACATGTCCGCATTTGCAAATCAGTCATTCATCCCGGCCAGAGATACGGCAGAGCAAAACATGACGCATGAAGCCAATGCAGAGCAGAGATCCACGGGTGTTGTAGAATTGAGCACGGTGGTAGATCACCTGGGAGGATGGGAGGATGAATTCCAAGGCTACAACAGAGCCACAAACTCGGCGGCGCCGCCTCGGGTCCTCGGTTAGTGTAGCTTTGGAGAGACATTGACAATGAGGCAGATGGCTGCGATAATGGGCGATGATAAGCATCGATGACGATTACAACATTTCAGACTGGTGCAATTTTGAAATCATGTTCACAAAAAGTAGTGGAATTTGTTACAGAAAGTTTGATAACGTTTACGCATGGTTGGCATGAAACTGAGTATGGAGGTTGAATGAAAATCATGTCCCAGCGCAATCACGATCGATACGGTTTCCGCATTGTGGGTATCATGGCCAAGAGAGAATGTATGACTTCCCATCTGTACATTTCGAGTGTTCCTCAAGTGATCCCGATATTTGGGAAAAAGTAATCAAAATAATATTTTGGGGGCCAAAGGCATCGTGGTGAGATATTCCGAGAATATGCCTTGGACAAAGTGTACGCCCATGACCGGCTGACCTACCTGGATTGTCTGCCTGCCTGCCTGCCTGCCGCCGGCGGGCTCCGGTGCCCCGGCTGTGTATGTGTGTTTGTGTGTATGGACATGCCCCCGGAAGGATTATTGACCGAAAAGAAATGAGAAACATACTACACCATCCTCTTGTCAGCACGAGAGTGCTCTTTTACCTCATTCCTCCCCTCCGAATGCGCGGCGGCGGCATGGACAAAGCACATACGCCCGGCGCCTCCAGAAATAGGTTGTCTGTCATTTTTCTGACCGAAAAGAAACGGAGACTTAAGGTGAGGCCACGGTTGCGACATCATGACTTGAAGATACGTCATATGATGCTACTGTTTTGTTTCTGAATAAGACCGGATCTCTCCGGTCAGGCCACGGCGGGATGGAATGAGTGAGTGATCAAGGGTGAGTGACGGTGATGTACTAGCTGGTGGATCCAAGTTATTGGAAGCCGAGGTTGCTGTTCTCTTGGGAGCAACAAATTGCGGTGAGTATAACAAATCTGTGAGCATAGATCTCATAGTTTGGATAGCTACCGAGTAGGTAATCCATGAGGTGAGCACAGAGTGGACTTTCTCGATTTGGTAACGCATGCTATTCTGTGGCAGAGTATAGCCTACTGATGTATGGATCGGATAAGAGAAAGATCCCACATGCATGGGACGGTTGTACGGAACTAGGCAGCTGCAAGGGATTTTCTCTCTCGAGCCGCATGACTTGGTAGCCATTGAAAGCGAGACGGCATATTATGAGCCCAGAAAGCAGGATACGGACCAGGACGAATCTGCTCAAATGTTCGGTAAGCCCGTAAAACATCTGCAGGTGCAGGGTTATTGGTTCTGGGCCATGATGCAAAGAGATCATTGGGAGGTTCGCACTTTTGCAATGCAGACCCGGGGCATTGCTGACCCTTGAAACCGGAAGATAGGTAGAAGTTTGTGTGAGAGAGAGAAAGACACCATTATGCTTCTAGAAGCTCGCTTGAGCCTCTTCGAACCTTTTCCAAACTACTCCTTCTTTAGGTCATACGTGTAAGGATGGCCAATCAGAATATCAGGTAAGCTGCAGCTTATGGCAAGGGCAAAGACTGCCCGTGTCGCCGTAACAGCGGTGAAGAAACTCGGAGTTTTAGTAATCTTGTATAACGAACGAGGTTTCTGCAAAACTCGCCATGCAGGAACATACGTATGTCTCACCTTGAAGTTACACGTAGGCAGAGAAGTCCGCATTCTCGAGAAAGAGAGACATTTCCGTGGAATGAAGGTGGCGCGGTCAATGTCTCTTCTGCACTGCAGAATGGCTTGCATATGCAGCCCTATGGACAAGGACGATTGCCACGCGTACATCCTGACCTAATCGGTCCCAAGTTGGCCGAACCTCTGGGAGGTCGGGTTGTGCGTATTGGTTGATCTGGCCAGCCAAGTCAAGTTGGACCCGATGTCAGTTGATCGCTTCTCTGTATCCCTCAGCCAATGTCTGATTGATCTGTCACTGCGGCAATCACTTTATGGATGGAAACATCGGAATGAATACTAATCAGATCGAGGTAGCTGAATGTATTGCCATCTAGCCCTTCTGTGGCTGTGGCTGTGGGGGCAGAACCAACGTGGTTGTATTACTCCCGAGTGTGAGAGCCTTTAATTGAATGCATGGAGCTTTAGGCATCCCTTAGGAACGTTCCTCATGTAGTCATGCTCTATAAACTCTCTTTGACAGAATGACCTTTTGGTATCGAGCCCCATAGGCCGTGTGCCGATTGGTTAAGAAATGGAAATAGACCATTAATGAGGCTGTTAATGTTCACCTCATTCTTCGTGGGACATATTGCGCTCGGTAATGACCGCAGGTTGACGGTAACATGACATGTAGGTGCAGGAAAGCGTAGATAACGCCACGAGAAATGATGTGAAAAATGACTGTGGGTGATGAATTGTGTTGCGGCCTGCGGCGATCATTTCTCGAAAAGAAACATAAGATGTTCAACCGAATGAAAACCAGCAATGGCCATTGGTGGTAGACGGAGCTTGGAGTGCCGCATGAGCCATGATGCCGTTGCCGGAGAAGCAGATTAGTAGTGTGTCTCCCTACAGCCCTATATGTATGCAGTCAGCCTGCATCTACTTGCCCATTTTAGGCACAGGTAACTAGCTACTGCATACTCGAGGATCTCCATGCTCTGCTATGATAGATAGTACATGGCATTAGCGTATAAGATGACAGATGGGACTATCCAGATTCGGGGTTGGACAGAGGCTTTTGTGGGCAAGTCAGTGACAAGCCGTTCCCAGACTGCTGGTAGCAAAGACCACATGACTTGTGCGGCTGTTGAGACGTGTAACTTTACTAGACCCAATCAAACAATATCATGGCTTCTGTCCAATACGTGCAAGAAAAAAATAGTAGCACTATTGTGAGCTGTTAATAGGAGCCTAAGGATTCATGTTCCACTAGCATCTTCTAATCATACAAGCGACAGCCAGAGTATTGGCCGCCGGACGTGATGACGAGAACACAGCCACTACATCCTTGATGTATCTATCCTGTCTGGTGCTTACTGAGCTGTTGATATTATCCGATAGCTCAATTTTTGGTAATTTCTCTGGAGAATCACTCGCCACGCCGCGGGGAAGTGGTTTCGAACGCGGTATACCCCCGAGGATATGGGCAGAGGGCGTGATTGTACTAACGTAAGGTATTTGTTGACAGGAATGGGGGGTGCAAGTATGAACAGCCGTCTTGGCAATCTGTGAATCAGGACCGAGGGAGCTCAGCTATAAGAACCCGACATGCCGCATGTTGGAAAGGTTTGAGAACAGAAGAAGAAGAAAAAGAAAAGAAAAGAAAACATCGCTCACTTGTCCCTCTTGTTTGACTATATCAAACTTTACAATCCTTTCAAGACAAACAAATTTCTTTTCAAGATGCCTTTGAGATTGTGGAGGGATTTGACACCTCTCGAGCAGCCTTTGAGGCAGCCAACGGCCGAATCGCCTCATATATTGGTCATTGGTGGTGGAGTCACTGGACTTGTTACCTCTTGGGTACTTCTGGATCAAGGTTATCGCGTTACTGTGCTGAGCTCGTAAGTGTCGATATTAGACTCAATTAGATAGTCATTGCGATGGAGGTCCTCGGTGGCTAACCTGGCAACTACAGGGCTTGGGTCAACTCTGAAAAACGTCTGACTTCACAGATAGCTGGTGCACTTTGGGAGTTCCCTCCGGCTGTCTGCGGATCGCATACCGATGCCATTTCACTAGCTCATTCAAAGAGATGGTGCATGACCGCTTATCATGTTTGGGACGCAATTGCGTCGATCCCGGTCATTGGCCAGGAGTCGGGAGTGCGGATGATGCCATCGGACTTTTTCTTTCCCTGTCCTGTCGAAGAAGATGACGCACAATATTCTAAAATGATGGAGATCATGGCAAGCGGTGTGAGAGGGTTCTATAGAGGCGCCGACCTCATTGACGAGAGAAGGGTCGACCCGTCATACGGTGCCGTTGATGCGTACGAGTTATTGGCGCCCATTATTGATACTGACAAGTCCATGGAGTGGTTGACAGACCTCGTCCATCGCAAGGGCGCGGAATACGTAACAGAAACCATCACCGAAGACTTGCTCGACATCGAGGACGATCTCCGCGCTAGATTCGCCGCCGATGTGGTCATCAACTGCACGGGTCTGCAAGGAGAGCTTCTGGCGGGTGACAAGACCGTCTACCCTATCCGAGGCGGCCTCATCCGCGTCATCAACGACGGGTCGGACTTCCCGAAGGTCGACGCGGCCCTAACCATCACGGCTGATGCGGTGCATGATGCCAACGAAATTGTCTTTCTTGTGCCGAGAAATGACAACATTCTCCTGATTGGAGGCATCGCCGAGCCGCAGAAAAGGGACCTGGATCTCACGTTAGACAGTCCCATCATACGGCGAATGCGGGAGAGGTGCGAGTCCTTCTTGCCGAGTCTCAAATCTGCACGCGTCGACCCGGATTACCCGTTGGCCCAGGGTCTTCGGCCCTTCAGGGGCAACAATGTGAGAGTCGAGCGTGAACTGCGCAGAGCCGGCAGTCGGATTGTGCACTCTTATGGTCAAGGAGGCGCGGGTTGGTCCCTGTCTTTTGGCTGCGCTCAGGATGTCGCATCGCTTGTGGAGGAGACGCTAAGAGGTGTCGCTCCCAGGTCAATGAAGGAGATGGAGGAGGAGCGCCGGGGAACGAGTGTCTGGAGCCCCGTGGAAATCAGAGCCGCACTCTGAGGGGGGAGGGTAGCAGCGGATGACCAGTGGACTGTCTGTTGGTGAATGGGTGGGTGGGTGATGTAGTGTGTTGAGAAATGGGGCGTGTATGAAGGTGTGGACTGCATTCGTTTGGTAGGTCCGGTAAGAGATATGAAGTTGCAATGCATTAGCCCGGTTATGTAATAATACAGTTTGTATCCTTTCCAGACTGCACCTGCCCAGCTCAATTGGGGACATCAAGTTGCACAAGGCCCACGACTGTTGGCCCATGGTAAGCAAAGACGTTTTCTGTCATCTGAGACGAGAAAAATGAAAATAAAATAAATGTATTGTCAGCACTTGTGACTGGGTTAGAGTAATTGCAAGTCAAGTAGAATAAAAACACCTGTTACCGCCCCCATGCCATGCATACAATCGAACCACACCAGCACAAGCGTGTTATCCATTCTGAGACGACTGCAGATGTGGCGGTTCAAGACTGGCCATCATTGTGAGTCGATTTTTGGGATGCGGATAGCGTAAGCGAGTCCTCGAATTGCCTGAATGCATGCCTGCCTGGGATGCGTGCGAATCTTGTGCCAGATCTGATGCTTGTCTGCATGATGATCGTGGATACCTGGAGCTGTTGCTGACGCCACTGAATGGCCGTTTTGACAAGAGACGCCACAAGTGTGCATAAGACCATTGCATGGCTGGGGTTATCTGCTGGTCACGAGGCAGGCAGACGTCTGACCTGAGTGAATAATATTGGTCTTCAAAATAATCCTTTTTATGCTTTTGTCTATCTATGTCTCTGGTAATCGCAAACAGGAGCCTCTTTTTCCACGCATGACATCAAGTAGTGCTTTGCTTATACGTTAAGCTGAGCAGTGGCAGTGCCCTTGATGAAAGACTGGTAGGGCGCAAGCTTCTTCTCCAAAACACCACCCTCGCTACAGAAGCGCTCGACAATCTGGACCGAGCGGCCAATGTAGAGGCTGGGGTCCAGCATGGAGTCAATCTCGCCCCAGATGGGCTTGAAGTAGTCGGTCTTCTTGATTCTCTCACTGCAGTCACACACAAGTCAGTCATCTTGTCCTTTTTGGCGCGCGACTCGCCGTCGCATCATGGTCAAGATACTTACATGAGATCGTTCTGGCCACCCTGGTTCTTGACCACATCAGAGGCCTGGTGTGACAAGACACGAATCTCCTCGTGAGCATCTTGGCGGCTGTTGCAGATTCTGTCAATTATTGTTTCACCAAAGTGTTACCGGGACTGGCAAGACTTACGATCCTCCCTTGGCCACAATGCGCATGATGATGTTCTCGGTTGCCATGAAACTATTTCACGTGGCGTCAGATTGCAGGTCCTGTAAATGTAATTGATAGACCACTTACGGTAGCTCCTCTCTTGTGCGAGCCTCAATGCGCTTGGGGTCTAGTTGCGGACAGCATGTTAGCATCATGTATCAATATTGCATCCTTCACGAATGTGAGGGACAATGGAGCCAGTCTGTGAAACTTACAAATCACCAGACCGTCAGTAACGTTGTCCATGCCAATGAGAATAGCGTCGGCCAGGAGGAACATTTCTAATCGAGCAAGTAATGTTAGTCAACTTGTCTTCTTGCCTTCATTCTATGTTGGTAAGATCTGTAGGTGGCGCATGCATACCGGGAATGTCAATGCGACGAATGGCCGAGTCATCCAGTGTTCTCTCCATCCTGTATAAGAGCACAGATTAGTACAACGAATGCCAGACCGCCCATGGCCTTTTTTTTTTTTTTTTTTTTTGGAGGTATTCTTCCGCGTGGATTCTGGCTACATACCACTGCATTGTAAAGGTATCCTTGAAATCCATGGGCAAGTTTGCCAGCTTGCGTCCCAGACTGCAGATACGCTCAGATCTCATCTACACAACTCGTCAGTCGCCACGTAATGGTCTTCATGAATGTATTTCTTACCGGGTTGCGCTTGTAAGCCATGGCGCTGGAACCAATCTGGTCCTTCTCAAAGGGTTCTTCCATCTCCTTCAGGTTGGCCAGGTGACGAATGTCGGCGCAGATCTGCTGAACACTGGCACCGAGGCCACAGATGGCATTGGCCACGCGCAGGTCAACCTTGCGGGTGTACGTCTGGGTGGAGATATCGTAGCAGGCGGGGAATCCGGCCTTGGAGCAGAGCAAGTCATTCAGGCGGTCGACCTTGGTGCCATCGCCCTGGAAGATCTCCAAGAACGAAGCGTGGGTACCGGTTGTACCCTGGGCACCGCGGAACTTGAGTTCCTTGCGAACGTGCTCAATATCCTCCAAGTCCATCATCAACTGCTGAGCCCACTGAGCTGCACGCTTGCCAACAGTGATGAGTTGTGCAGGTTGGTAGTGGGTGAAGCCCAACGTCGGGACAGCCTTGTGCTTGTCGGCAAAAGCTGCAAGGTTGGCAATCACCTTGGCGAGCTTGGGGATGATGATATCCATGGCATCGCGCCTAGTGGTCAATGTTAAATCTTCATTTCGGGATAAAAGATGGCGACGACAAGAAATATCAAGAATGACTTACATGAGGATGAGTTCGGCGTTGTCAGTGACATAGCAAGATGTGGCGCCATAGTGGATGATGCCAGCGGCAGCGGGAGCGACCTGGCCAAAGGCGTGGACATGAGCCATGACATCGTGGCGGCGTCTCTTCTCCTCAATGGCAGCGACTCCAAAGTCATCGTCAGTCACCGTAAGGTGCTCCTTCATCTGCTCGAGCGCCTCGGGAGTGATGTTGTCGATGCCCAAATCCTTCTCAGCCTCCGCCAAGTACAGCCAGAGCTTGCGCCATGTGCTGTGACGGGAGCGCTGGCTGAACAGCTGCTTCATCTCAGCGCTGGAGTAGCGCGAGTCGAGCTGTATAATTATGTTAGCCTAGATGGTAGAGACATTTCCTACTGTGTCGTCAAGTGTTGGTGAGAGCCACAATTCGGATAGTATCCATCTCGAAGCAAGATTACTCAAGCGTTCGTAAGCAAAGCACTCTCGGCCGCTACGTCTCGCAAGGCCATTTTCGTTTGTTATATTGATTCATCGAGTGGACCGTGACATCATGTGTGTGGTTTCTCTCGCGATATGGGACAAACCCAAAATACCATTGGGTCAAAACTGGGATGATATCCAATGAAAGATGACTAACCGGTGTCTTGTAAGTGTCAAAGCCAGACATGTTGGGCAACGTATTTGACGGGTATCAAGTCAGTGTTGTTTGAAGTAACAAGTCGAGACGATTCGCTTCTTTCAGAGAATAAAGATGATCCACAAGGCGGAAGAAGCTTGTGGTCGTCTTCTAGGATTCCCCGTAACAAGCTTTTTTTTTTCTCAATGACCCCGCAAATTGGATTGAGAAAAAAAAAATTATGATGGAATGGGACCCTGACGTCGGGAAATATTGGGATCTCCTTTGGTGAAGTGTAATATACGGCTATTCTCTGTCTTTTGTCCACGAAATGGAATTGTAACAGCAGCGAATTTTTGAGTGCATTTCAATTTTTTTCTTCTTCTCATCCTCTTCTCCCATTCCGTTCGGCTGCGGATTCGGAGAAAAGCGGGTCTAAACTGAGGCGACCTTGGGGTATTTTAGCCTGGGGTTCAATACTTGAGCTTTGTGTAGCCTGGCAGGGCGGAAATTGTCAAGAGTCAAAACGCTCTGGTAATATCATTGAAAAGTTGACATGTGTGTTTCTGAAATTGGCAGGCAGTTGTTGAATCGATGCCATGGGCACTTGATACAAGCAATACTAATGGATATACTTCTCCCGTCTTCGGCACCGACTTCACGTTTTTCCAACACAGGTATTGTACGGCCACAATTTCGGCGTGGCGCCGGCGGCCAATCAAAAAGGGCTGTGCAGACTATTCGCGGGGTGAAATTTTGCTGTCCATCATTCTCATATGAGCATTTTCAGCTCCTCAGTCCTCTAACCCGTTTCTATCAAGTACAACTGCCATGCATCGCCTTGCTTGCATCAAGTTTCAATTGGTTCTGTGACACTCTGCACGTTGTATCATCTTCTCATCTCAATTTTGTTACCCATTGCGAGCCACGACACCAAAGCTTGTACTCGCCTTATTTGCTTACATAAACGGGAGATTGTATTCCGCGCACTCGCGCTCGTTCAGTTCATGAAGAAGAAGAGAAGGAAGAGAAAAGGAAATGACTTGCCGGTTGGGTAGCTGGCATAAGTATTTTATGAAGGCCTTTCTTTGTTTATCCATGATCCCATGCAGCATAAGTAGGTAGATGTGAATGTGTGTTCTTTTCCTCCTTTCTTTTACACAAGATGGGAGGGCAATATCAATACACGCTTGGATGTACTTGGCAAGCAAGGCTTCAGAACAACGATAGATTTGGTTCCAGGCCCCAACTACCACTGTGTACTGCCAGCACGCGAGATTGCTCAGATCTTCATGAGCATTGGTTTTCTGCTTGGCCTGCCCTGGTAAGCCAGTCAGGCGACTGGTGAGAGGCTATGGATAAAGGCCCTGGGATGCTCAGACGCGCGGACGTTCGCCAAGTAAGCAACTATTTCTTTGGTTTATCGACCGGGGCCAACTCAATAGCGGGCGGCGGCGGAGAGCTCCGCGTGCAAAAAAATAAAATCGGACGATGACATTTCCGAAGCGACCGAGCGGCCAAATAGTAGTAATGTAGCACTGGTAGTAGCAGCCAATTTACGAGTGGACAGGACTGGGGTCTCTTTCAGCGCTGGTTGATCGCCCCCCCAAAAATGGTGATTCAGCTGGTATGCAAGTGAATAAATGGTTGGCCTGTCTAGACCCAAGGAGTGCATAGCTTTGCCAGATTGGCATCCATCAAAGCCCTCCGTACATGTGAAACTCGAGGATGGCATCCTCTTGGATCGCCTATTGCGTGCGTGTCGCTGCATCACACGCTCGAGGGCAAGACAGCCAAGACGTGTGGGTAATCAAGGGCAGTCAGCAGATGATGGTTGATCTGTACACTTCACACTATAACAAGGAGTTATCGTAGGTACCTATCATAGGCAGGCAGGCCTGTTGGCACATGCAGAGTAATGTAAGGTACTATCATGGTTGTATCAGGCAAAGGGGACTTGACAACTTGAGGGACTTCCATGCTCACTGGGGAGAGCCACAAGTCATACACCAACGGAACTGCACGGCCACGGTTATCCCCCCAGCCCTCCAAAAAGCATCCACCAAGATCCGCCTTCCGGGGGCATCATGGCCAAAAGATTAGCGATCCGATTCGCCAACGCACCCTGAAGAGGATCATGGCGACTGGCGTTCCAGAACTGCGGGACTCTTGCCCTCACGGGATTGGCACTGGCTACGTAATTAAGTCTCTTATTTCCGCCGGTAGATGTTCCTGCTACACAATACATGCACAACTTCTGACGAAGCGGCAAAGGAACCCGGACCTGACACTTGTTTGTAGTGTATGACATACCAATGTCCATACAATTGTCGTGTGAATTTGGTGAATGGAACACTTAGTATTCAGGTTTCGAAAGAAAAAAAAAATATGGGTGAGAGTACTAGTCAAGCTGAGCTGCAAGTCTTGTTCTTCAGAGTTTGAACGATTCCGATCCCTACATACAAGATATGCAGGTAGGGTCAAGCAAGAATCATACATCAAACCAGCTCAGAAAGAACGGGCACAAGTACTCCCCGAGTATGTGTGCATTAATTACCACGATAAACAGATATCTAGGTATGTTGCTAATAAGGTATGTGACAATGTAGCCGGCAAAACCCTATTGCTCGGGGACCGCTCTCAGCTGTTTTGTGCGACGCACAATGTATGAATTATTAGTAAACTCCCCTTAACGCCGCGTTGCACTCCTATTACTGTACACATTGTAGCCTCGCTTCGGCCCCTGAGGGTCGGAGATGGTTCAAGTGTGCCGCGTCGGTTCCGCCTTGATGACATTACTTGCCTATTTGCCTAGGCCCTGTCCGGAGGTACTGGTGGCACTGAGGTAGGTAATCTAGGTACCATGGTACATAGCTCGTACAATTCATAAAGTGAGGTGGATTCATCTGCTGCCGCATTCCCTACCAAATGACATCCGCATTTGCGTCACTTCTAAGCAAGAATCAAGGTCTGTCGGTTGCTTTGTTAATAAATCGAGCGTTGCGCTACAATGACTTAGGACCTGATTCTAGACAACCCTAAACCACTCAAGCTTGGGTCGAAGCTTGTTCCTTCTCAGACGACCTCTCAGCGCCACGTGAAAAAAGAGACACTGCTTACAATTGTTGTGGTCTGCCAATTTCCCACTACCAAAAAGAACACTGAGCGCCTGTTTTAAAGTTTGCGTTCCCCCACCGACCTAGGGCACCTGCAGAAGAGTCCTAATCCCCTGACCAAACTGGCCCAGCAAAAGCCCATAGAGGAGGACCTACGACCTACCTTGTACATACCCCCAAGCCTGGCGTTGCCCAGGACCCCAGTCCAGCCCAGGCTAGCCAACCGCGACACAGATTTATTTCTGGACTCCCACTCACCCATTCACCCACTCGAGCACCACCTTGATCATATTCATTCATGGTCTGCACTTGAGCATCCTGGACATCACTCAAATACTACTTTTACAAACGCTTGGTTCACCCAATAAACAAAACACACCCTCTCACTTCTCACAAGACCTCCCAAGATGTACATTTGCAACGTCAACGTCCCTCGTTTCTTCATCAACTCGCTTTAGACAGAACTTCTTGAAGCCGGCTCCTACACCCGACTTCAGTGGGCTTGTCTCTCTGCCTGTTGAATCCGCCTTTCAACGCTGCCCATCATCTTGAACCCGTTTGCAGAATAAATTCAACAAATATTGTCCGCTGGTCAATCAAACCTTCAGTGTACCTTAATTCAATAGCTCTCCGTCCCCCACCACAAAGTCAACTCGAGCCATGGCTTCGCAACAGCGCGACGCGCCGCCGGCTGCATACAGCTTGCTGCAGCTCGAGGCGGGACTTTCTACACCCTCGTTTGCATCCAAGTCAAGCAACGAGAGCGACACATCTGATCAACTGATCATCCAAGAACGCCAAGTCACACTGCAGTCGGGTTAGTGCACACAGGATCTTTGTCTATTTGTACACTCGTTGCTAACAATTCACCAAGCCGCACCAGTCCAAGGACAGCCAATGATCATGGACGCTACACAGCATCTGCCTCCCCAGAACTTTGCACTTGTCGTGCCTGGCGTGTATCGCAGCAGTTATCCTCAGGCCCATGATCTCGTCTACCTGAAGACTCTCAAGCTCAAGACCGTTGTCACACTGGTCGAGAAGAAGATCCCTGAAGGCTACCGCGCATTTCTTGATGAGAGCGGAATCAAGCACATTGTCTTTGGCATGGCTGGTACAAAGAAGGCCGATATCCCCCTCCCAATGATGAGCTCCATCATCAGCCTCATCGGCGACAAGCAAAACCACCCCATGCTTGTCCACTGCAA